GGACATCCTAGCTCGCAAACAGGTGTACAGCTTCCATCATCGGCTTTGGTATATCCTTCTGCACACTTGCACTCTCCCGGTGCACTACAACTGCTGTGCTCTGGACATCCTGATTCACAAACTGCCGTGCAGCTGCCATTTTCAGATCGCGAATACCCCTTATCGCACATACATTTGTCTGGCTCCTCGCAGCTGCTGTGCTCCGGACATCCTCCGGCGCAGACAGGCAGACACGCGCCTGATCCTCCGTTGTTACTGTAGCCCGAGTCGCAGGCGCACTCACCCGGCGACTGGCAGTGGCTGTTAACGCCGCAACCGGTGCAAAACGGAGTGCAATTGGGCCCGAAGTAACCGTTATCGCAGCTGCACTTCCCAGGTGCGCTGCAGTGACGGTTGGCACCACAGCCTCTTTTGCAAATGGGTTGGCAATTGTAGGTGGATCCTTGATAGCCTTCGCAGCAATAAAATTCCGTTTCAAATCTGTAGTCGGTCTGCATTATGAATTATAATTATGGAAATATTAGTCTTCAGGCGAAAAAATATTAAAAATAAAATACTAATAATAATTGATATATCTGAACTGAAAACGATTTTCATATTGATGATGCTGATTATTGTGTATTCAATACAATGTCAAAGCTAGTTTCATTAGAATTACATTGATAATGAGAATGATGTCATCATCATAATGATAATAATATTATGATAATAATATGTATATGGTCTAACATAATATCCGGACTTAAACAGAATTTATACTATGATAGCTTTCAATCTGGGCCTCTCTCTGACTCATTCTCAAGAAATTCAGACGGAAATAAGTACTGAAAAATATATGATATATATATTTTTTTTTTGCGTTTTTTTTTGCATATTTAATTAGTAATGATGCACAATGTTGCTATTTATGATATGATTATCTAATCTCACCTCCGGCACATATTGCGTTTCGATTCGAGATTTCGTTTTCCACACAAAGAAAACTCTCTTTCTATACGTTATGGTCATAGTTCTTGGCACCATTTTAGTGTAAGACACTCTCTTCAAGCGACTGCACACTTTATTCTGAACTGTCAAGGTCAGACAACAGCCAACAAGGCTCAGCAATAGATATAACATTAGATGTAAACTCCGCATTCTCAAATTATTTTTGGAGAACCTTTAGCTAACACGATTCAAATTCAACTGAGCAGTGACTGAGATTGGAGCTTCGACTCAGACTCGGGACTTGGATAAATGCGGTATTTCATTTTAAAATACATCCGTTCATATTGATAGCCATTTACTAAATGGTGTACATAAAGTATATTCATGTAATAAGTTTGAATGATTAGGAATATCAGTAAAAGTAGGTCTTAAACAAATATATTAAAATTAATGTTATGTTTAATTAAGATAAATACATTTAAATACGTATATGAAAAAAATTTTATTGCATTTAGTAGTTGTATTTTTATATAGTTGTACATATTTTTATACATCATTGTAATATTTTAGGGTATTTCTAAATCATTATTCTTTTATTTCAAAAACAATGACTCAATTGCTTTTCTTTTTGTCCATATCAATTATTATTTATATTATATATTCCATGTACATAAAGCACTAGTAATACAAGAAAACGCAAAAACCTTTCTTAAACTACTGTTCATAATACGCAAATTGAATTACCACAGGAACCGTTTGGTAACTGTATCGGTACATCCAGGAAAAGGGAGCATCTGGTACCATTATAAGTTTAGGCTGTTGCCTAATATAAGAAATTCGTTTCATTCTAGAGCACAGTTTTGGAGATATAGCAAATCCGCGGATAATTGTCACACAATAATATATCAATAGCAAATACAAGCAAAACTGATAAAAACTTTGCATTTTTAAAGAAATTTGTCGGTTTAAATGCGACTTTTTGTACGATTCGGCAGAGCGTTTCAAAGTTAACTGAGAGCTTAGATTTGCTTTGTTTATAACACCCGTTTTTAACAACGTTTTTAAAACAAATAATAATTAATGATAGAGAGAGACTGTGCATATGAGAAAGAGAAAGATAATGAGAATATGAATAGAAAGAGAGTTAGCACAACACATAAAGCTGATAATTTATACTTTACTCATGACAAGTGCAACCTTGGACCATATTAAAACGCATTATGTACAGTATATCTGCTTAGCATTTCACTTAGAATATATATAAAATAAAAGCTTGATTTTATGGAAGCTCAGTTGGATAATGAATCACTCAAAGATTTAGTCAGACACAAACCGTCAGTCAATCAAATTCTGAACTCTGCAGTCAATACCGTAATTCAATTAAAGCAGTCAATTAGCAGTTATTGAATCAATGATTGAATATATAGAGTTTTTATTTTATTATCAGATCTATAATAATACTACTAAATGGACTGAGAAAAATCTAGACAGATGCCACAGAGACCATGCCCTCTTTACTTTTTCAAAAACAATTGATATATACATAATCAATTTATATTACTTTATTTCATTAATTATTACTACCAATTTAATTGATAAATTTATTCAAATTTGAATACATATCATATATTTTATTGTTATCATTAGCTCTAAATTCAAATTTCCTTTAGATGTGTCACAGATTTAATACGCCCTACGCTTCATGAATTATTTTTACTTCTTGAGGTTATATTTTCGATGCGTCATATGGAATTTGCGAGCTGATTAAGAATCAAAAAAATTATTTACTTTACTTTGCTTTTCCTTCTAATGTCGGTTGACGTTTTATTTTAAATAAGTTTATTGCGCATAGCCAGGGTTCTCTATGCCCTCTAGATTGGTATCAACCTTTTCCATGGGCAGACTAAGCTTGTCATTTTGCTCGGCATAAGGGTGGTCATCCTTGCATCTTTTGACGATCAAGGCGATGCCCAGGGCCAGGCAAACGACAAGTAAAACAACTGCCATTGATATAATGCCAATGACTAGGGAACCCTTCAAGCTGGAGCAGTTGCGATTGTGCTCGTCGCCAGGTGTGTAGCCTTCAATGCAGGCGCACTGCTCCGGCTCCGCACAGTAGCTATTGTCGCCGCACGGCTGGCTGCAAATGGGCATGCAGAGGTTGCCCTCACCCGTGTAGCCCGGCAGGCAGGCGCACGTCCCGGGACTTGTGCAAACGCTATGCAACTCACACTCGGGCGCACATATGGGCGAGCACTGGCCCGCCGCATCCTTGGCGTAGCCTTCAAGGCAATCGCACTCGTCGGGCCTGCTGCAAAAGCTGTTGGCCGAACAGCCCGCTGGGCACTGTGGCTCACAGTCCGCACTCTCTGCCGTCGGCCGCTGATAGCCGGGCAAGCACTCGCACTTGCCTGCAGCGCGGCATTGCGTATTCCTGCCACAGGCCACACAGATGGGCTGGCACACTCCCGTCTGCTCAGACAGCTTATGGTCCGGGTGGCAGGCACATTTGCCTGGCTCGCTGCAATAGCCGTGCTCGCCACAATCTTGCTGGCAGTGAGGCTGGCAGACGCCTTGCTCATTCTGGCGATAGCCGTCGATGCATTCACAAAGGTTTGGTTTCGTGCATTGCGCATACGCTCCACAATCCACATCACACTGCGGTTGACATACGCCCAGCTCATTTTCAATATAGCCCTCGTTGCACACACAAATATCCGGTCGATCACAGTGACTATTCC